TCTGAATTTTTCTTTTAGTTTTACAACTGTCAAAGATAAAGATATATCGCAGAATTAGGCCTTCCGTTTCTCTACATTTTGACCAGTCCAGATAATACTCTGCACAAAGATACCCGGCACGAATACCATCTCTGTCTGTTTGAGTCTGAGAGGACTACTTATTGTAAGGTATCTTTGTGCGAAGTTTCATCTAGGTGGGTCGATACAAAGAAGTAGCAGATCAAAACCATCAATTATTTTAAGTTTTTGTTTTTTGTTTTTTGCAAAAAAAGTAGCAGATCAAAACCATCAATATTTTTAAAGTTTTTTGTTTTTGTTTTTTTGCAAAATCAAAAGAAAGGCGCAAATCCCAAATCTGTGTGATTTAGTCAGTGTGGGTTGTCGCGAGGTATCTTTGTGCAATGTCTCACCTAGATTGGTCGAAATATATAAAAGAATGGCAGGGCCAAAACTCAACACTCATCGAAAGTGAAATGCACTCATTAATCGTCAGATCAGCTGCGACTGAGCACACTGATCAACCCTCTGATAAGCCTCAGAGGATCTCCGGTGATGTGCAAAGGGTATTGTAAACAGCGGCGTGTACCAAGACTTGTACGATCGAAGTATACTCTCCTTACCCTAAAAGCGTTTAACATAAGGAATTAAAGGTGTGGTAAAAATTATTATCAATCTTGTTGTGATTTGATATGACACAAACTACTGATCAAGAAATTACAAGATCAAGAAAACTTGAAAAATATAGCCTCAATGGAATTGTAACCATTTAATTTGTATTTTCAATCTGAATGTCCCCTTACATGGCGTAAAAGCTAAACAGCCAAGTCAGAGATTCCTAAAGTTCACGGTTAACCGGCCTTAATTTGAAGTTATTGAACAGTAAGATGGCGACTAGTCTTTTGCTTGTTTTGAATTTCGCGCAAAGCTACTCGAGAGCTATCCTGTGCTAGCTGTCCCTAATTTAGCATTGATAGACTAGAGGGAAAGTAACTAGTCAACAGCACCCGCCGCTACAAAGGGCTTTGTACGGTTTTTAACGAAATAACGGGATTATCTGCTACACTTGTAACGCACTCACAGTTCAAAGTGCGAAGCGTATGTAGCGGTATCGTAGTGGACCTTACGAAACACAGCTGGGTACATCAACCACTAGATCACGCCCAGCCGCGGCCACTTAAACTAGAAGCGTTCGTCATAAAATCAACAATGAACAGATGTTAACCCACAGTTTGTTGTCTTATTTAAAACTAGCTGGAGTACCCGTCTCCTGGACGGAAGTTATGTAAATTCATAATTTATGAGAGGTACTCTTAGGCCATGAAAAGTTGCCTCCCTTATATGTAATTGTAAAAAAAATGCCCATATAAACTGCAAAACAGAAAATATGAAAGCAAAAATTTGTATGTATCTCCCCATTGACCCAACAAAACCATCATACCAAATTTGGTGAAGATCCATCCAGAGGAAGTGAGGTAGTGGTAAAAAAAAAAGAAGCAGCAGCAAAAACGCTCATAAAAACCGCAAAACAGAATTTTTTTATTATTATTATCTCCCCATGGACACATTGAACCTTCTTACCAAATTGGGTGAAGATCCATCCACACCCTGCGAAGTAGTTACATGGACAAACAACAGACAGTACCTATTATATTTATATAGAAGCAGTATTAAAACTGCAGCCAAAGAATTATCTATTTTTTAAATTAAAACACACGTTTATGTACTTGATTTCCAAAATCCATCTTGTTATTTCTCTCTCTCTCTCAGTTACACGAAGTATCGCAGTAACTTGAGTTATAGAGAGGAAGCAAAAGTATAATATTTATTAAATTTACAACAGTTACAGAGTTTATGAAGATACAGTACAAAAAATGTAAAGACTACACAAACATTTATGCGCATTACACACGTGAACCCATTTTTTTTAAAACCAAGAATACGTTCTTGCATGTCATTCCTATCTGAAATACTAACGTGAAAATAACACGATGTAACTCTTTATTACTCATTTAGAAAAGTAAACAATAATTTGATTCTTATTAACTATCAACCCGTTATTTCACTAGTATTCTAAAAAGTTTACATTCCCCCCCCCCCAAAAAAAAGACAAAATTATATTTTATTACACAGAGCGACTGAGCGAAGCAAAGCTTTTGGGTTCTGGATTAAATTTTATTCATTATCCTGCTTTTCCCGAGTGATTTTCCTAATTTTGGTGCGTATTTACTGGGACAGATTGAAAAAGTGGGGTGCCCCCCCCCCCGCTTGCTAAGCCATCGTTAAATCGACCGTTGACAAAAAAATGTATTACGTAACTACAAAAACCAGATTACGATACCGCACGATGTATTACTTTTTCATTTATTCAAACACCACATTTGTTGAAGGAAACTAACGTTTAATGGTACACAAAAAGAATTTTTAAATAAGACAGTTGGTTTCTGTCAACAGTCGTGGTTTTAAAAATCGTACACACATTTCGTTTTACCTTTCGTCCGTATTGCTTTTGTATTGGGCATGGATATTTGTCCATTTGTCAAAAATAAGAGGGATATACAACATCTGACTTTGAAATCATCGATTTAACATACATTTGCAGTTTCTATTTCATAAGATTTTTCTCATTGGTGTATGTTTTGATCCGTTAACACATTTTCGTAAACCATCAGTTTTTTTTTTGTTTTTTTTTTTTAATAACGCTGAATAATTTTTTTGTTGTCTTTCAAAGTTTGTAGTACATACTGGAGGGATTTACATATTTTGATAAAAGTTTACAAAAAAAAAACGACTTATGCCCCCCCCCCCCCGTGGCACAGCGGTATGTCTGCCGACTCGCAACAACGCTAGAAACCGGGTTTCGATACCTGTGGTAGGCAGAGCACATATAGCCCATTGTGCAGCTTTGTGCTTAACTACAAACAGAGAAACTGGGTAAATTATTTTATTCAGAATAGAAGGAATGGGCGAGGAAAGTAGCTACAGTTAAGGAGAATTTGTTTGTTTGTTTTTGAATTTCACGCAAAGCTACACGAGGGCTATCTGCGCTAGCCGTCCCTAATTTAGCAGTGTAAGACTAGAGGGAAGGCAGCTAGTCATCACCACCCACCGCAAACTCTTGGGTTACTCTTTTACCAACGAATAGTGGGATTGACCGTCACATTATAACGCTGAAAGGGCGAGCATGTTTGGTGTCACGGGGATTCGAACCCGCGACCCTCAGATTGTGAGTCGAGCGCCCCCTAACCACCTGGCCGTGTCGGGCTGGGGACCAGTTGCATCAGAGCCTTTATTATGTATTTGGTGTTAAATACTTGAGTTTAGTTCAAATCCATGTTGTTAAATGGAAAACTCAAATAACTGCTTGGTGGTGATATTGTTAGAGAATGTTAAACTTCCTTTTCAAAACAATTAAAAAAAAAGGTAGATGCAAGTTTCTTATTAATTAGAATAAGCAGATACATATGACGTCACAACATTCATCACATAAATGAACGTACAATATAAACACGTTTAATAAAACAAAACATATGAAGCAACTTAAAACTACACTTATATAAGCAAGCCTCCTCCTCTCTCAAGTGGCACAGCGGCATGTCTCCGGACTTACACTGCTGGAACCGGGTTTTTTATAAAGCAACTTAAAACTACACTTATATAAGCAAGCCTCCTCCTCTCTCAAGTGTCACAGCGGCATGTCTCCGGACTTACACTGCTGGAACCGGGTTTCGATCCCCTTGGTGGGCAGAGTACAGATAGCCCAATTGTGCAGCTTTGTGCTTAACTACAAACAAACAAAATAGAATGCATATTATAAATTATAAAAATTTGTGAAAATTCGATCCGTGAGTAAATGTATATCGTAATATTATTGTAGTGACGAGGTAAGCGTAACTATGATAAACTAAATGAAACTTCAAGTATTTATGCGAGTCACATAATAAGAGGCTTTGTTCAAACACTTGAACATGCTTACTTATGACGATAACGTCACAAAAATGTGTCAAAAATTTTTCACTAGAAGTGTAATCACATTAGTCTAATCACGCATGTTCTATACATAGAGCGCAATTTATATTTACATAAAATTCTAATGATCGGCTAAAACATCTGTTATTTGAATTCCACTTTAAACTAATATTATGCCAGGATAACGGTTATTCGTATTATAACTGCCAAGTTGTAACTGTATCAATATTAACTCCTCCCAGGGGGTTTTTAACGAAGCGACTTGAAAGTTTGCAAATAGGCACTTGGCCTCACTGGATAAAGATGATGAAAAATAGTTTCGAAAGAGTCACGAGGAAACCCCCCCCCCCAAAAAAAAATGGAGGATCAGGGGGTTTTGAGGGCTCTCGGGTTTGACTGAACAGACCTGGCATGGCCAGGTGGTTAGGGTGCTCGAATCCCCGTCCCACCAAACATGCTCGCCCCCCTTTCAGCCGTGTGGGCGTTATAATGTGACGGCGGTGGGTGGTGATGACTAGTCTTTCACTGCTAAATTAGGCACGGCTAGCGCAGATAGCCCTCGTGTAGCTTTGCGCGAAATTCAAAACAAAACCCATTGACTGAACTGCTTTACTTGAAAATTGGTATTAACACGCGAGGAACATTCACACAAAATTTCTAAAGTCGGGTTTTACAAATATCCAAGTTTGAGCACAATATTGGGATTAAAAAGGTATCAAGGCCTGAATCCACAAACTGGCCTGGACAAACAAGGAGTCGCTCAAAATGTTTGGTTGCTGAAGACTTTTCTCGTAAAGCTACACGTAGGGCTATCCGCGCATAAACTGTACCTAATTTTGAACTGGCAGACAAAAGGGAAGGCAGCTGGTCAACAGCACCCCCTTTCAGTTCTGACTGAAGAGTGAGAATTGACTTTCACTCGTATAGCGCACTCACAGCCCAAAATATAGAATACAAACCACGAACCTCCGGCTTCACAGCCCGGATACAATAACCACTTTGCCACACCCTGCCCTCCCACAATGAGTGCCTACCTTTACAGTTTAAGTTTTCATAACAGGAGCGATAAATGGACGACCCTCACGATTGTCTATACGTATTTACATGAAAACTGGCACGAACGAGTAAATGGTCGTCCAAAACAAGTAGGCAGTAGTTGTTGTTGTTGTTGTTGTCCGAGAATATACACAGGCAATTTCCTCGAGTATACCTATATTTTGGATCTAAAATATTAATTTTCAACAAGGTATATGAACTGACCCGACTGGTTAAACCACGTGCCAGCAGTACAAACTCTTGAGCAAGTCACGTGCTTACGTCTACACTTTGAACTGCATGCCAGAAGTACACACACTCTTGGGCAAGTCAGGTATTTACGTCTACACTTTGAAATGCAAATCTTGTTATAATTCTCACGGACGGCGACAAATTGTATGGAAAAGAATGAGTTGTAACAACAAATAATAATTAGTTAAAATCGATGAATCGTTCCTGTACACGGATTTATTAAGAACGTCAAATTAATATATATATATATATATATATATATATAAACGTCAATATATGTGGGTTCCTTATACGTTTCCACATATCTTGATCAATCAGCACCAAACTTGACACAGTGACACAGGAAGGTCATGAGAGGGGTGGGAGGTTAGACCTCCATCTAATTTCGGAAAAAAAACTACCAAATCAGCATAACTTGACAAAGTGATATAGGATGACACGAGGAAGGTCATGAGGGGGTAGGGTTAGACCCCCCATCTAATTTTGGAGAAACTACCAAATCAGCACAACTTGACACAGTGATATTGGATGACATGAGGAAGGTCATGAGGGGGGTAGGGGTTAGACCCCCATCTAATTTCGGAGAAACTATCAAATCAGCATAACTTGACAAGTTGATACAGGATGACATTAGGAAGGTCATGAAGGGGGTGGACCCTATCTAATTTCATATTGATAGAATTCTTGAAAACAGTGTGTCATTCTGTTCAGTATTGGTACTTATGTATTTTTTATTGTACCTTAATGTTTATTATGTTAAGAAAAAAAAACAGAAGGCCAATTTCCTATCCTTTGTTACAAACGAGTTTTTATTTCACCAGTGTGTGTCACGTCCCGTCAAGCTTGATTTTTGAAATAGGGAGAGTCATAAAAGCCAAAATGCATTTATCCAGATAGAATAGTTCGATTACTGTGTCCATTACGATTTTAGTGACGGGGTGAAAGGGTGCCGTGAAACCTTATAAGTGTAGTGAGTGTTGGTATAATAAGTCTAAAGTAAAGACGTAGTGTGGAATCACCTAGCCTAGAGCCAAGTGCATAATATATATCATGAAAGTAAAAATATCGATTCATTATTTTATGAATACGCCACAAATTCATTTCATGAATGATCTTAATTTTGATTGGCTCACAAAGGAACTTACCGACGTTTGACTGCCAATAAACACATTTTGAACATTTTTGGTTTTCTGCTAGTTATATCATTCAGGAATGTTCATCGTGATTAAAAATCTGGACAAAAAAGCGTCTCTTTGGTGAAGAGCGAATAAACTATTTTGATCATGAAACTGATGCCATGTCAAGCCAATAAATATACTACGCCATTGTATTGCTTGTATTGGTATAGCTAATATTCAAATTGACACAACAGTACGTCACCCACCTAACTATTTCAACATGTTCGTAAATGACGATTTAATGAATTTTCGTAAGTGAAACAAACCCTTATGCCTGGTAATTCGTAGATGAGGTTACAGTTGGTCTGTTTGTTCTTAAGCGCAAAGCTACATAACGGACTGTCTGTGCTGTGCCCACCACGAGTATCGAAAATACCAAGTTTTTAGCAGAGTGAGCTCTCAGACGTACCGCTAAATCACTAGGGGTCACGTGCTAGAAAATAGCATCTAACAACCAAAGAAATGAAAGTTTGTTGGGTTGAAATTTTTTTTATGGTATTGCACTATTCAAAAACTTAAGATTGAAGCATATTATTCAACTAATTCATAATACAGTACGACATTTTTTTTGAACACTCGCTCGGGAGTTACAAAAGTGAAAGGATTAAGAGTTATTAGATTGATAATTCAATTTATTATATACTGTATTGAAAGTATTTTTTTTCCTCACCTTGGGCAACAACGAGGAGGAGGGTTCCTTCCACAGTATGGATAAGTGTTCTACAGTACGAAATGTAATCTCAGAATAACAGTTATTGATAAACAAAATACGTGTTATGTACGCCTTACATATTAATTCTCACATTCCTCTTAAAGTGCCAAAAACGTTACTTCCTTAGTTCTTTAAAAACCTTTGTTTTTATTATTATTCCTTTAAATATAAATCCAAAAATAGACGAAAAATAGTCAACTCCAAGAAATATTCATATTGCTACAAAACCAATATACGGCAAGAAAAAAAAAAAGAAAAAAAAGATGACTTATGAAGTTCTCTATTAATTATTGAACGGCATGTGTTTCAATTCAGGTTTATAATTCTCCGTCAAAATATATCACGTAACAAAATAGTCCCTGTAGTTAATTAGACAACATAATTCATTAATACAGAATATAATGCATATAGTGTAGTATACATGGAAATGTTTCAAGAGAATAATAATAGCTTATTTATTATTGTTGTTTCCAAGAAAGTGATTTTCCATTATAAATTAATGCGTCATATTTACAAAAATAAATAGAAAACCAATTAGTAAAAAAAAACCGATTAAATAAATTTTAAAGAGTTATGGGTTGGTTTTGATTGTTTTATCGGAAACCTACAGAATGGGCTATCTGCGCTCTGTCCACCACAGGAACTCCGGATTTTAGTTTGTAAATCCCTAGACTCATCGTTTTCCCAGCGGGGGACCAAAATTTTGAATTGGAACTCGTTATAACAATGCGACTTCACAACATAACATGTATTTGAATAAACACAATTTTGAATTATATGTATTTTTTTTATTCAAAGCTTGCCACGTGAAGGTGCTAGGTAAACCTAATTAAACATAAAAAACGTAGGTTTTTTTAAACATATTTACACACCATAACAACTGTTATTGTATCAAATAGCTTATATAAATGGTGTTCCGACCACTGCTGTGTTTTTTGCATCCCAGCCGGCATTGAAGAGCTCTGGATTGAGCAAAACGCGTCGTAGGCAATGGATGTGGTTTAAATGCTCTTCTAATTCTTGAAAATTCCTAAGAGACTAGAATGTAGTGTTTAAATGTTTACTTGTTTATTTTGATTAGTTCTTCCTGTAAATTATACAATTTGGAAATGAAAAATTGTACGCTTTTATGTTGTTAAAAAATAATCAGTCGTTTTAAAGTTCACTTTAAGTATGTGTTTGGAGAACACAATTTGTGTTGGGGTGAAATAACACTTCGATTTTTCGATTTCGCTCACAGATATCCGTGACGTATAGGGATTTTCAATCATTACGGTAAATCATCCATCCGGATGACGGGAATTAGAGTCGCTTATGACGATTTAAAAATAAAGAAAAGGACAAATTACGGTTCCTCAAAAGTACCACTTTAATTAATTTCTTTTAAGTGCTTCCGTTTGCATTGACCTGATTAAATGTATGTAAAAAGTCTTTCCTATGCGGTTTTCAAAACATTGCTGGGAAAGGGGGAGCATCTCTCTCAAAAATAAAGAAAAACTGTGTGTGTGTGTGTGTGTGTGTGAGCGCGCGCGTACATACACATACGTACATGGACCACCCATGAAAAGTACAGCTCCAACATAAACGGTTTTAGATTTCAAACAATTGTAAAGGAATTTATTAATATTTATTTTCCTACATAATGTTGTGGGAAGGCAGTCACCCTCAATCTTTAGACATAGAAATAAAGCGTATTAAGTTTCTATAATTTTATGGCTCCCAATATCCACTGTTTTCAATAAGTATTAGATATTACAAAATGATGTTAAATTAGGCAAGCATTCCAACATTTAGATATAAAGGTAATCTTGTAGTAGACAAGTTAAACAGAACTAACAACCCTTACCTTAATAGTTCTGCAATAGTTCCTTAAACTACCATACTCCCCCCTTTCCTACAAAAAAAAAAAAAAAGTAGTTCAAGTACAACCCTATATAATTATTGCTAAATTGAAATTTAATAAGTATCAATGTAAAAATGTACTTAATTTCTGTATAAATATAATAGTTACATTATCCTTAATGAAAAAAGTATTCAAACAAATAATGGGTATTCTGATGAGAGATAATTTCTCCACAAACATGGCTGACCTGTATCTCTACTTCTACGAGATTATTACGAGTACAGTTACACCTTCCATGATATCGACAGTCAAACCTCCATCAATAATCTAAATTTTAATTCAAATCAAATATATCCAAAGGAACTTACAATAGCTATAAATAATAAAACTAGTTAGATTTTCGTGGAAGGCAGAGTACAGTTAACTATTTTTGACAAAAAAAAGGATTTTAGTTTTTCCATCCTTGCTTTACCTACCCCAAACAGTGTAGTTTCGTTTATACTATTCAAAGAAATAATTATTTCTCAATTAAAAAGATATTTGAAAGTTTATAACAATATGAATTCATTTATGGGTGATGTTCAATTATTAACAAATAAATTTAAAAAATAATGGTTACAAGGCCTGTTACGCTTTTTTGTTTGTTTTTTTTCTTTTATAAAGCACCAGCAGAGAATGTAGTTACTTCTAGAGTATAGTATATATGAAGATTTTTTTGTTAAACATAATAGTGTAGGTACTATTTTAAAACTGAAACCGCTGAAATGTATAATTAATTATAAAAGTAACATTTGAGCTTTTTGAGTTTATCAGAAACCCAAAAAATACGCCATATTCGTACATCTTTATTTAAGATTCGCAATATAACTAAAAACCGCGATGCAAATTTTTACGTATCCTCTATACCCTTGTTATTCTAATCTATATCTTGAAGTTATCAAAATTCCAAGAAGGTGAACATTAATTAATTTTTAAAAAACGTGTTCATAAAACATTTATTTAGATATAATTTTGAGAAGAAAATTTAACCATTATTTCCTATCGTATGGCAGACATTCAGCTTGCTAATTATAATCTACATGTTTGGAGAATGATTAAACTATTTCCTGTATTTCACGAAAACAACATTTTTATGTATATTTGGTCATCTCCTTTAGGTGTTGCTTGATTAGCATTTTCACAACTGCATATTTAAGTTATGTTCAAATTTTCTTATTGGTAAGTCCTTACCGATTGAAATATGCGAAAAAAATATCTCAAAGACATTCCTACTTGGTCAACTGTACAACCCTACAAATTATTAACTGATGGTAAAGGCGGTGGATTTTATTATGAATTTCGGGGTCTTCTCTTTGGACTGTCTTCATGGTTTTGGTTTTGTCAAAATTGAAAAGTGCTGCGGGTAAAACATGCGGGTTATTAT